GCGTCAAACACTGCCCTATTGCGCGTTCGAATCTCCACCCGCCCCTGCAGCACCTGATGTGTGGGTTTCGAGATGCGGGATGCAAGGTAGAGGGTGAGAGGGATGGTCCAGGTCATCTAACCTGCTTGCAGCACGGTGAAACGACATGAACGCACCACTTCTGTCACATACAAGGGCTGCGGCAGCTGCCTCCTGTGCTCGTCCGCGTGCCGCTCTTTCGCGTGCCACGGCCGCGCCCGCTCACGATGGCCAACGCCGCCCCTCCGAGTGCCTGTGCAACCGCGACCGCCTCCCCTTTCTCCAGCCTTAGGGAACGCGCGACGTGGCACAGGTCCCTGTGCAGGCCTGGATGCGACGAATGGATTTGGGCAGGTGCATGGGGATAGCGATGCGGTTTCGGGGTGGCGCTGCGGAGGGCCTGGCCCGTGCAAAGCTGCACAAGCAACACAGGGCAAGCGCCTGGAGGAGCCCTCAAAGGCCACCCGCGCTATGGCCATCAGTGCCCCAACAGCGACGCGCCCCACTGGCACGGCTGCTGGGCGTGCTGGGGCGTGCTCAGTGCGGCTGCCATGAAGCCAATGGGAGGCACGATCGCAGGCGCTGCAGCTGGGCGCGCATCTGCACCCACCTGGCCCGCCGCGCGCAAAGGCGGAGTATGCCTCTGTCTCCGCGGCCACCACGCTCACGTCGATGCTGTTGCGCGCCTCTGGCTGCTTGCCCAGCGCGCGCAGGACGCGCAGCACGACGCGCGCCCGCTCCATTGACGCGTGCAGCGCTGCATGCGCAAGCGTGAGAGCCATGGGCGGTGCTCGGCGCATACACTGCCACGATTGAGAGAGCATGCACGGCTCACTGTACAAACTTATTTCTAGGCACTTGTTTGAATTGGGGGGCCCGCATGGCAGCGGGCGCTCGCTCACCCGCCAGCAGGCCGCCCCCACTGTTGCCGCTCCCATCGAGTTGCTCCATTGATGCGGGCGCACGCGTCGGCTGGTGAAAGCCCCAAATGCGATGCCGACAGCTTGTGCACACTCACGGGTCGCGCCGCTGCAGGTATGCGAAAAGCCAGAGGGAGGTATCGTGCATCAAGGCCCCAGTCACGCCACGCCCGCCGCGTCCGCATTGCACTGCGAAAACCGGCACTTACAGCCCAAAAGCCGCCCCGCCCTACCGCTCGCGCACTGAACATATCCAAGAGGGTGGTGTTGGTGTTGCAAGGCCACCAGGCTGCGCCCGGTCGCCCTCACCTGCATGTGATTGCTCTGCGCAAGCTGCCGCAGCATGCGCACTTGCGCACAGCACCGGTCGGCCTCGCTGTTCACCTTCCAGCCCGGTCCAGCGGATTCATGTTTCCAACCAGCACTCGCAGAGCAACGCTGTGCTTCCTTCAAAGCGGTTTGGACTGTGCTGACGACCACTATTACTCCGCGAGAGCGTGGAAAGGACGCAGCTATCGAAAACCACAAAGGAAACGCGTTGCCTGAAACTAAATGTTGTCAGCTGTTGTCGTTCACTGAACAAAAAGGGTGTGCTGCGGGCACACTGCCCTGCAGCGCATCTGCAGCGTGCAGGGATGCCAGTGCGCACGCTGTGCTTCCAATCGCAGCAAATCAATGCAGATTCCTGCAAAGGGTCTCCACCAAGCATAGCAGGCGAGCAGGCACCATGGGCAATTCCGCCACGTTGCCCATCCCACCCGCCCGCCGCACCCAACAGTCGCCGCGCCCGCCTGCCCCTAGCTCGCTTTCCCGGCCTTCTCCGCCGCCGTCGCCGCCGCGCGCTTCGCCGCCGCACCCCGCCGCTCGTGCCGGTGCTTCCAGTACACCGGCACGAGAGCGACGCAGCCCACCAGCAGGCCCAGGGCAATGATGCGGGGGTTGTAGAGGTCCGCCAGAGAATGGAGGTCGGACAAGTGGTCACCGGCATGCGCCGCCATGAAATTGTTGGGCAGGCAGCCGATGAGCGTGCCTTTTGTGTGAAACAAGAGGTCGAGGTAGGGAGCCGCGTAAGGATTCAGCAAAGCAGGAGCTCAGCAGCCCATGCACGCGCTCAGCGGCCGCATGGCAGGTGCAGGGGGTCGGCGCAGCAGGTGGGCACAACGCACGCCCCCCCAAAGGCATGCTCGCGCGTCACCTCTCTCCCTCCAAACGGGGCGAAACCCACCGAAGAAGAAGGGCAGTAGCGGCACGCCCACAATGGGGGAGGCGACGTTGATGAAGGTGTTGGGCAGGATCGGCGTGACCCTCAGGAATATGATGTACGCAAGGAGGTCGTCGTCCCGCGCCCGCACCTCGTCTGCAAAGTGCCGCAGCCTGTCCCGCCAGATCGCCAGCGCGACAGGGCGCCCAAAACACCAGGATAGGCAGTAGCAGGCCGTGGAGCCGAGAGTGCTGATCACGGCGACGAGCGCGACGCCGCGGGAGGTGCCGTAGAGCGCGCCGGAGAGCAGGGACAGCGAGACGGTGCCTTGTTGGGTGCAGGAGTGGGGGTTGTTTGCAGAGAGGGGCGGCGGGATGTTGCGCCGACACGCTGAAGGGGGCAGCACAGGTCCATGATCTGTGAAATGGAGGCGGGACCGGTTGCTGCGGCAACCTAGGAAGCTCATAGGGTACACATGTATCGCATGTGATTTGCGCGCCGCCTGCGCTCACCTGGGATGGCAAACGCCTGCATGATGACATAAGTCATGAGAATTCCCACCGCACAAGTTTTCTGCGGGAGGCCAACAATCCCGTTTGGAAAGAAGCGTGTTTTCAGGGCGAATGCGCTCTGGAACGCAATGTGCGAGTGTGCGCATGCATCGTAGCTGAGCCACAGCAGGTTTCCCAGGTGCTGCACCAATCAAACGTCAAAGCGGCCCCTCCCCTGCAGGCAACTTGGACACTGTGGCAGGAAAACTTTAGGCGCTGCGCAGCCCCTGCTATTCTCAACTCAGCAGGACGACACGGGCCGGTGGCTGCAACCTGCCAGGCAACGCCCCAGATGCAGACCGAGCCCGCCCCACCCCCCCCCCCTGAGTGCCTCCTGTGTTGCGCTGCGGCTGCCGTGCGCACCGGGTACGTGTCGCAGTAGCCCAGCAGCGTGTTGCGCAGCTTAATGACCGACTCCAGGCTCCGAGGCGGGAAATTATGAACGACGGCATCGAATTCGCCGGGCTGGTGAGAAATGACACGGCGCGGTGACGGGGCGGGCGACGAGGTCAGCGAGGCGCCTGGGGCGCCTCATGCATGCATATGTAGGATGCTAGGCGCTGCATCAGCTGCCAGCGTACCATCGGGTTCCAAGCTTTGGTCACAGCATCGCGCGCACGAGCCGGAGGCGACAGGACATGCTGTGCGGATGTGCGGGCCGCTGCGCTGCTGCATGTGTGTCGCTGTGCCAGGTCTTGCGATCGAGACGACCCCAGCATCCCCACCTGCAGCTTTGGCATGTTCATCACGAACACGCCCAGCGCAGCAGCGCTCAAGACCAGCACCAGAAGCCCCCAAGCGATACTTGTTCGAGCATCGCGCCACAGCTGTGCCTTTGTTCGCTCCTCATCGTTGTCTACGGGATGACCAGTGACATCTGGATTCATAACGGCTGTCATAGAGCCGCTATGAGCGCTCCTAGGCCAAAGACGAGGTGGACCTTGGCTGAATGCCGCGCCCCTGGCCTTGCCTGCTTTCCACGCAGCGCATCAACAAGCCATCGCAGCAAATAATTAGACAAAGAGACGAATTGCACGTTGCCGTGTGGGATGGTGCAGGGGTGATCTGGTGCCCTGGAAGGGAAGGGAGTTAGGTGTGCGGTTGCCGGTGCCGACAAATGGGCGGTGTTGCCTGGATTCCACGCTGGCCACGGCTGTTCCTCCCCTCCAACTATGGTCACGCCATTTCGCGGTATTGCCAGTCAGGCAGTGCCCGACCTGGGGTCGGTCAACACTGACGCGTGGGTCAAATCCTGCCGCTCGTAGCTGTCCCCTGCCTCGGCATGGTGCTCTGCGATTGCAGCGCGTTACACGCATCAAGAACTATGGAGCGAGCGACTATGAAACGAGTAAAAAGAGCGCGATCATTGGTTGTATGCATGTAATGCTGCCTGCCTAAATAATTGGGTAAACCAGCCAGCTGTTTGTTTGAAATTAGCTGTGCAAGATAGACGACGCTTCGTTCCATAGGGGGCAAAAAGAGGGCAGGAGGGGTCACGAAAATATGTGCGCCCAGCACGAACCAGGACGCCGTCGTTGATGCGATGCAGTAATGCTGGGCGCCGGTCAAGCCTTGGATGCCAATTGCACGCCGGAAGGCGTCCGCATGTGGCCCTTCAGGCCCCGGAGCACTTGGAGCTGCAGATCAAGTGAGAGTGGGAGAGGGGAGGTGCGCAGAAGCGAGGTCAATACGCCGCGCATGCGGGTTGGACCGTTGGCAACAAACGCGCCGGCAAATTGATGAACTGTGTTCACTGAGCCGCTTTCGCCGCCAACACACATGGCTATCTCTCTTGGCCGTGCAATCACGCCTAAACCAATGCAAAGGACGACAGAACGACAGTTGTGGGCTCCACTATGCGCACCTCCTTGGCGCACAACCGAATGAGCAGGGCCCCCGCTGCAATGGCCGAAAGATACAGCATCATGAAGACGCCATCAAAGCCGCCCGCCTCGGCGATGATGCCCGTGAGCAGGGGGCCGATGGCCGCGCCGATCGAGCCCATCCCGTCAATGATTGCGGTTACCGTGGCCAGGGCCTGGTCACGACAGGACGTGATGAGTTGAGGAGAAAAGGTGCCGCCTCAGTCGCGCATGGTGGGGAGCTGCAAAAGCCCGGACCGCGCAGCTCGCCCCAGCGTCATGCGCATCCCCGCCAGGCCGCAACGCGCCCGGCCGCCGCACCTTTGCGTTCCCGTTCAGGCTCTCATGCGTCCCGAGGTCGGCGCTGACCGCCGTCGTTATGAGCGCGTACGGCCCATTGACCAGGAACCCGCACGCCATCATCAGCCCGACATTGGCCGCCAGGCTGAGGTGGCCGTACGCGCGGTACAGCCACAGCGCCGGCACGCACACGGCCGTGAACCCCGTCGCCACCAGCGCGCTGGCCCCGGTCTTGTCCGACAGGTGGCCGGCCAGGATGCCGCCCGCGACGCCGCCGACGTCGAACAAGGTGGACAGGTCGCCCGCCTGCTTGGCCGACAGCATGCGGCCCTGGATGGGGGTTGACTTGATGTAGAACGGCAGCCAGTAAAGGAATGTGTACGCGATGAGCTTCGAGAAGAAGAGGCAGAGCGCGAACGACGCGACGCCGGGGATGGCCCAGGCCTCCCAGAGGGTGACGCTCTCAGACTCTGCGGCGGCGCCCGCCTTGGGGTGCTCCTCGAAATCGTCCGGCTGCGGCTGCGGTCACGGTCAGATCACGGGCCGAGATCGAGGGTGGGCCAACGGAGGATTCAACGGTCTGGCAAGAGAGCATCGCAGGGTCGGCCTCGCAGCAAGCAGGGGGGCCGCCAGCGCCCGTGGACGCATGCGAAGCTTTCCACTAGTCTCGTGATTCGCCTGCATCAACAGGGCCCCTCAACACCAGAACCCCCCTCCCTCTGCAAGGACCATCCTCCCCCAAGGACAAGCCGCATCTGGGACGTGGGCGCACCTCGTCCGTCGACTTTACGGCTTCGTAGGACCCCGCCGCCGCCAGCCCCACATCAGCCGGCGACACCACCAGGAGCAGGTACACCAGCACCCCCAGCACGCTGATGGCGACGCCCGGCACGGCGAAGCTGTAGCCCCAGCCGTACTGCAGGCAGGCCGCGGCGACGACCGTGCCGGCGATGTTGCCGACCGAGGTGTGAGCGTTCCATATGCCCATGACGAGGCCGCGCTTGCCCTTGCCGTACCAGTTTGCCATAATGGACACGACGCTCGGCCACCCCGTGGACTGGAACGCGCCCGCAAACACCTGGACGCCGAGAGGGCGGGGCGGGGCAGGCCATCGCAGCGGATAAAGAAGGGTGCAGATGTGCGGGAGGGACGCCCTGCAGGGCCGCCTGGCGGGCTGCGGGCTCCTGAGGATCTGACTGGACCTGCCGCCTGGCAGGTGGTGCCTGCTGCCTGGCGGCGCTGCCCCGATGACCTGGGAACAGGCGACAAAGGCGCCGGGCCTCTGAGGGCTCACCATGACTGTTGCAAAGTAGCTCATCTCGTGGATGTCCCAGAAGTATCCCTTTGGGGGGAAGGGGGGGTGAAAGGGTGAAACACAACTTGCTTCAGTCGGCGCTTCGAAGCCGCTGGAAATGTGCAGCGCGCTTGTGTCTGCGCGGACCCGCTCCCAGACCGGCTGCAGGCTGTCGGCTCCAGGGCTGCGAGCCACGAGCGCCTGCGCCACTGCACAGTGCTGATCGGTCCCAGCAACCCCTGCCCACTGCTCCGGTCGTTCCCCCGCCCATGCCGTCTCGGCACGTCTGTCTTGCTGCCTGCATGTGCTCCTCGCCATCGCATACCCCGGCCCCCTCGCCGCGCCGCACCATGCCGAAGAGCGTGGTCAGCAAGCCGCTGAGCACCATGCCGCCGCTGAGGAACAGGCGCAGGTCGGTTCGGTCCCCGATGTGGCCCGCCACAAACATGCCCAGAGCGTAGGCCGCCAGGAACGACAAATCCACCTGGCCCAGCAGCGACTGCGCGGGGTGCGGTGGGCGGCAGCGGCGGTGGACGTGGATGTGGGGCGCCCGTCTCAGGGCCTGGGCACAGCTGACGCCACTGCCCAACCACCGCGCCGGCTGATGAGTGGGTGCAGGCTGCACGCGGCTTCCCTATTAGAGGGGGTCGTTTGCCCCGGACAGCGTCGTGTGTCGCCCTCCAACGGCGCGTGCTCCCTCGCCGCGGCTGAGCAGCTGGGCGGGTCGACAGCCGCCGTCGCTGCAGCTGCCAGGAGCGGTCAAACAACCTTCTGCCCGCTGCCATCGTGCGGGGCCCAGCTGCTGCACGCACCGATCCGTTTGGCCCGTTGAACGGCGCCCAGCCGAGGCTGCTGGCCACTTCGGCGTCCGACAGCAGCGCTTTGTTGGCGGCTGTGATCTTGTCCCCTTTCAAGACGCTGCTCGGCACGAGGAAGGAAAGCACATGCGGCAGAGCGGAGGGTTTGAAACAAGCTACAGGCTCCTACACCTGCTGCCATGCTCTGGGTGCAGTGCTAATCTGGGTGAAGCGCTGCTACGGCAGGCCGGCAGACCGGGGTGAGCGGTTCGCAGCAACGAGCCTGCTTCCCGCACCTTTTCACAACGCTCGGCGGCTTCCTTGTCGCGTGAAATAGCGCATATGTGAAGAACGTGAGCACCAGCGCCTACGCCAGGGGAGGTTCGCGACGAAGGTGGCGGCGCCAGCGCATGTGTGCGCGCCCGCGGTCAGAGTACTCAGCTAGTTGGAAGCAGCAGCGCACGTTCCGTCTGGCCGGCGCTGCGCCCACCGCTGGATCGAAGCAATCAAAGCACAACCACAGCAATCCGCACCATGTTTTTGTAGAACGTGTGGCTGAACCTCCTTCCATAGCACTGGTGCAGTGCATCGATGCCCGGTGGAATGCTTGGGGCAGCTCGTGTCCGCGGCCTCATGTTGCTGCCAGCTGCTCTATTATCGGCTGCCTGTTGATTTGCCGATGCCGGCGACAAGGGTGCCTCGCCACGGTGGGGGCGAGGTGTCGCGTAGAAATTGGAACGCCTAGGCAGCGTGCACTGTATGTAAATCTAACATAGGCAACACATGACACTATATGGATACCCATGTCCTTCCTCGTGTTCTCTTCCCTTTCAATTGTGCCGGTGCCGACGCAGTCACTCGAAAGGCAGCACCGATGGCTTTCAGCAGTATGCTGGTCGCGCAGGAAACCCAGCACGTTTGACCTGAAATTCAGCGGGTTTTTATCGCACGGCGTGAGGTACATATTGAAGAAACGCAGCAGCAAAACTGCCTGCGGGCCGGTCCGCCCTGCTCGTTGAGCTCCAGCGCGATGAGGGACGCAGAAGCTCTGCTGAATGATCCGGCAAGCTTGTCCCTGGCAGGCGTGTGCACGCTGGGGGCGATCGGTATCTCCATTTTCCAGGTTGGCGTGCTCGGCAAAACGCGCGCTCAGGGCCGTCTGAAGGCCGTGGTGCAGTGTGTTGATGTCCTAAACGGTATCATGCAGATTTTGTGCCACCTCAGAAACTACACGGAGCCCGTGTTTCAGGTGCGGATGCGCATTGCATGCGCGCCAGCGAAGCGCTCGCTTGCGCGCAGACCCAGTCAAGGGATAAAACAGCATTGTATGGCAGGCAGCACACACAGTCCACCCATCATCTGAGGTAAGCCAGGCACCCGCCCGCGCCAATTGACCGCACAATCCTGCGGGCGACGACGCCGGCCGGCAGCGGCACCTCAAATGGCAGCGCCTGCACGTGCGACGATGCGAGCCGCGCCGCGGCCCCCGCGCTTCACCCACTGCCACAGAGGTACATCATCCGCCTGATCTTCATGGTACCAGTCTACGCCATCGGGTCCTGGTTCTCCCTCAAGTACCGCGACGCGGCCATATACTTTGACACCATCCGCGACTGGTGTGTACCGCACGTGCACGCATGTGTGGCGTGCAGCTTGCGGGACATTGTATCCGCTGCCATCTCTGGGTGCAGCAGCGCATGCCAAGCCGGATGTTGGGCATAGAGAAGGCAGTTGCGGCTGTACAGGCGGCGAGCAATATCGGGCAGCAAGGCGGACGGCAGGTGCGGCGTAATCGGGCTCTCGGGGCGGTGGTGCTGATGCCTGAGGGCTCTCCTTGCCCGGATGCACATGAGGGCAGCGAAGTGGCCCCGCCCTCATACGTCAGTGGTGGCTTCGTGCTGGAGCAGGCAAACCTCACTCAGCGTTGGCTGCAGGGGGGCTGCGAGCCGGCCAGCCTCGGGCTGCATCATTGCGAGCAGCCGCCTGACTGTGGGCTTGACGCTGGTGGCCTGCACCATCCGTGCTGCAAAAGCGCGGGCAGATTCTGTATTACACAGAGTTCCTCCACTCCCCCCTCCTGAATTCCTGTATGAATCACCACCTTGTTGCAGCTATGAGGCGTGGATCATCTACAACTTCACCAGCCTGCTGCTGGCGTATGTGGGCGGCCCAGGGGCTGTGGTGGTCAAGGCGGAGGGCAAGGTGGTGCACCCCTCATGGTCACACCTCACATGCTGCTTGCCGGCAATGCAGGTGCGGCGCACGGCGTGCGGTCGGGGCGATGCACTTTTCGCGGCGGTTGATGCCTCCCCCGAGCACTTGGTGGTTGTGGGCAGGCCACTCAACAGCGACAAGGAGCCATGAGGCGGTTGCTTCAAATCGAGGGAACCGCTAGTGGCCATTTGCTGGGCGCGTTTTGATCCCTTCCATGCTCGCAGGTGGACGGCTTCTTCCTGCGGCGCTGCAAGCAGGGCACGCTGCAGTTTGTGCTGATGAAGCCCATCATGGCGGCGCTCACGCTGATACTGTACGCCGCAAACGCCTACACCGACGGCGACATGAGCCCCAAGAACGGGTGCGCTGCCATTGACAATCGGGTACGCCTGCTCGTGCCGCATGCTTCAGGGGTGGACGGTGCCCGAAACCATCCTGACCACCCGCGGTCAAACACCTGCAGAGCACACCCATGCCTCAACTCAAGCTCATGCTGACGTCCACTTTTGTCTGCGCCCCACCCACCCCGCCCCTGCCCGACGCGGCACAGGTATTTCTACATATCCATCATGTACAACGTGTGCTACACGTTTGCACTGTACGGCCTCATGCTGTTCTGGATCGGCGCAAGCGAGCTGCTGGCGCCGTTCAACCCGCTCCTCAAGTTTATTCTCGTCAAGACGGTGGTGTTCCTCACGTTCTGGCAGGTCAGCGGCCTGGAAGGGGCTGCGGGACGGGGTGGGGCGACTCACGAAAACCGCGGTCAAGGCAGGGCAGCTAGGCAGGATTTTGCTGCCGCCAGGGATGCGCTATTAGTACCCGATCTTGCGGCCAAGGTTCGCGCCACAGATCCTCATAGCTGATTGCTGGTCATAGCTGACCGCCGCCAGTGGACCATTCAAACGTGTTTTTTGCCCCAGGGCATCGTGATCTCCGCGGTCAACAGCATGGGCGAGATCCGCGACCCCGAGGACGGCAAGGCCCTCCAGAACTTCATGATCTGCGTGGAGATGCTGCTCGCGGGCACCGCAATGATCTACGCCTTCCCCTACAAGCAGTACTCTATCGGCGGCTCGACGGCCGGCTTCCGCCTCGACGCGTTTGCGCACGCGGCCAGCGTCTCGGACGTCGTAAAGGACGTCGTGCACGTGTTTGCCCCCTCGTATTCCGACTACGTCCTGTACAGCGACGGCGGCCCCGCCGACCACGTGAAGCGCAAGAAGTTCAGGGGCCAGAAGGGCACGGACGCGCCCAAGTCGAGCTTGGTGAAGAACATGGCCAAGACGGGGCTGGCGGGGCTGGACAACGTGCTTGAGGCGGCCGGCGGGCTGGCGGCGGGGCGGCGCAGCAAGACGCCGGCGCCGAGCGCGTCCAAGGCGGCGCGGGCGATGGAGCGCAACAGGTGGGGGGCTTCGGGGCCGAGTGGTGGGGGCGAACGTCAGGGGAGCAAGGGTGACAAGGCCTGCGCGGCCGTGGGAAACTGGCGCATCACAGCAATGATACTGATATTTGAGCTGTGGATCGCACCTTGAGACACACACTCACACACACACACACACACACACACACACACACACACAGACACTCCACCAGCCTCGCCTACCCTTGCTACCCGTGCATATCCCTGCGCACCCCTCAAAACCTCTTGCCCGCCGGCCACACACCATCAAAACATCCTCTCAGGGACATGGCAATCCTCCTGGACTCGGACTCTGACGCCATGGATTCAGAGGAGGAGGGTGGCGGACACCTGGGCACCATGGTCGCTTCAGGCTCTGACGGGGAGTCCTCCGACAGCGGCGGCGACTCCCCCCGCTCCCCACACTCCACGCGCCCGTCTTCCCGCCGCGCGTCCCGCCCGGACAACGGCGCGGGCCTGCCGGGCGGCGGCAACGGCGCGAGCGGCGGCGGGCGCGGCAGGGGCGGGGCGCGGGCGGACGGGGCGCCGACGCCGCTGCGGCGGAGGATGAGGCTTCTGAGCTCGAGCGATGAGGAGGGGGGCGGCGAAGGGGCTGGCGGGTCGGAGGGGGAGGATGAGGAGAGGCATGGCCACGCACGGGCGTCTGAGCTTGCCACAGCGCAGCAGCGGGAGCGGCCGAGCCAGCAACAACAGCAGCAGCAGCAGCAGCAGCAGCAGCAGCCAGTCCCGACGCTGCGTGCCCCGACGCCCCAAATTGCACCGCAGCGGCGGGTGGAAGGCGAGGCCGCGCGCGAGGGGGCGCAGCTGCGGCCGCTACAAGCACCCGCCTTGCAGCAGCAGCAGCAACAGCAGAACGCGGGCAGCGACGACGGCACCGGCGGTGTCAGCGGGGCCATCAGCCTGCCGCGCCCCAAGTCGGCCAGGCAGCGGCTTCTGGAGGCGGCCGCCGCGGCCCAGGCGGCGGCTGTCGCTGACCAGCCGGGCTCTCCCGGCTGGGCGGCCAGCGGCTGGGGAGATGGGGCCCCCAGTGGTGCTGCAGACAGGGGCAGCGGCGGCGGCAGGGGCGGTAGCGGCGGCAAAGGCAGTGCCGGCGGGAGGGGCAGCGGTGGCGGCAGGAGCAGCGGCGGCAGCAGGGGCAGCGGTGGCGGCAAGGGCAGCGGCGGCGGCGCCGGCTGGGCTGAGGAGGGCTGGTCCAACGTGCCAGTGTGATGCGAGCATCGTGTGTGAGCGCTATGTGTCCCATTCGCATTACTGGGTGTGAGGGTTTCGTTTGTGCATTATTGGGCGCCCCTCCTTCCGCTCTTGCCGCGACAGGTTCGCGGGGGCTGGGCGGCCATCATCCCCTGACTGTGCTCGATGCGCTGGCATGGCAGGGGGCGCTGAGGAGGTCCAATGGCTGCTGCTGAAATGCGCCCTTTGGTGCTACCGTCCACAGCAACACCCACACAATACAAGCGTCCTTCGAGGACTCCTTGTGCGCACATGGATTTGTGTAACAAATTGTTTCTAACAATGGCAGGGCTGACTGCTGCTGGAGGAGCAGAGCGGCTTCCACGGGTGGGGGGGAATCCGCTCCACAGTCCTGGCGGTGCAGGGGTCGTGTCGGCGAACAGCAACGGCGCCATCAACCCTGTCGACGCAGCGCTGGCTGCTGCGCCGGTTGCCGGGTCGCGTCCTGCTGCTGAGGCCCCTGCTGCGCTGACTGCAGTGCGGCGCGGGCCCTGCATTTGCAGAAAGCAAGGAAGTGCGGCAGTTGTTTGATGTCCACATGCCCAGTGCTCAATTCGGCTTAGCCTTGATTATCCGGATCTGCAGCTGGGGCGGCACAGGCCGGCCGTTTTGCCGCAACCCGTCAGAGCGGTCTGTGCACAGCCCCGCCCAGCAGGCCGGCCCCGCCCAGCGCCCAGCCCCGCCCGCGAGGCAGCCCCGCCCACCTTGCGAGCTCCGCCTCTGCCGCGTGCACCCGCAGCATGAAGCTTTCCAACAACGCGTCGCGCGCGTCGCCCTCCTCGCGCGCCTCCAGCAGCGCTGCCCGGTCAGACGCCAGGGCGCGCTCGCGCTCGCGCAGGCGCCACTCGGCCTGCAGTGGGCAAACGCAAGAGGAGAGGCAGGCCGGTCAGAGCCTATGCGTGCTGCATGCAGTCGCCCTTCAGTGCAGCGATGCGTGCCTGCAATTTGCACCGCGGCGTCCTTTATGTATCATCACCCCCTGCGCGCTGCACGCGTCCAGACCGCAGGCAACGCACACGCCACGCAGGAAGTTGCAGGCCCAGGATTGCGCAAACGCCAAAGGCGAAGCAGCTTGGCCACTTGAGAACAGCCCACCTCCCTGTACTCCTTCCTGTCTGCATCTCCCGCCCCCCTCAGCCGCGACGACGCGTCCAGCAGCGCCGTCTTCAGGTGAAAGGCCCTGTGCGCCAGCGACCGCCGCGCGCGCGCATCCTGCGGGCGCGGCCGGCGGCGGCGCGGCGGGGGCGACGGCTGTCGCATGGGTGTATCGTGCGGCCACTGCTGGCAAAACCAGCTCAAAGCAGTCTGCCTTCTGCAGCAGCACCGGGTTGGTCCCAGGTGCACCCCTTGCATGCCTGCTGCCGGGACTGGCTGCCCGCCACTACGCTCATCTCTTGTCGTGCCGTGTAGGAGGGCCACCCGCGGGAAGCCTGCGCGCGCACCTGCTCATCCGCACGGCGCACAGCGGCCGCCAGCTGCTGACACTCCAGCGCCGCGGCCTGCGCCGTGTCCTCAGCCGCCGCGAGCGCCTGGGCCATCTCTCCATGCTCGCGCTGCGCGCGGCCACCGCGGGATAGATTGAGTCTGCTGCACGCGCACGGCACGCCGGCAGCTTGCCCATTCCGTTGCAGACACCGCGTTCGCACCCCTTTCGGCGACTGCATGGCGGTTCAACCTCGGCAAAGCCAAATAAATTGCGTTTCACTTCAATTCTGATTCTGCAGTCTCACACGCAACCAAGCCCCGCAGGCGGGGCTGGCAGCCACCTGCAGCGTGTGCAGCGTAAACCCTGTGTTATAAAGCGCCGCCTCCACCTCCTGAAGCTGCTGCCGAAGCAGCCTGGCCTCCTCAGCGGCCGCTGCGGCAGCGCTCCGGCCGCCCTCCTGCAGAGCGGCCACCTCTGCCTGCAGCAAGGCCTGGTGGAGTTCCGTGCAATAAAAACCCACTCAAACTCTGAAGGGATGTATGATGGTAGTTCCACACATCATCCCTTTTCAAAACCTAGGCAAGTGCCGTACGCTGAGCCTCTGCGGGTGGGGGCATTCCCAGGCACGCTCGCTCGCACGCGCGCGCTGCGACGGCGCCGCTCACGATCTGAGCCTCCCGGTCGTCCGCGTCCGTCTTGCCCTCCAGCACGACCTTCGTCACCAGCTCCACCACCCACTTGGTCTTCTGGGCCTCTAACGCGTACGACCCCGCATGCTTGGCGATGAGCTCCACCGCGCGGTTGCGCAGCCTGCATGGCGGCGTGCACCAGCGTCGCCCGCATGGCGGCGTACGTGGTGTATGGCTTGAGGGGCAATCCCGACCGTGATAAGGCTTAGGGGGGTTGCGCATGGTGTGGAGTGGGACCGTCCACACCGGAACGGCCAACTGCACGAGCGGGTGCAGCAGGGAACCACCAGACCAAGCAGGGCAGCTGTCATTCCTACATTTCCAGGGTGACATGACATTCTGTAGCTCATGTTTTAGAAGCAACCACTTCTTCATCAAGAAATACCTGGTTTTCTCCTGGTTGCCGCTTGGTTGCTTGGCCTTTCCTGAGCTGGCTGCGCTCGGCTTCTTTGCAGATGCTCTGATGGCTTGTTCGCCGGCGTCACCTGTCCTTCCTGCACGATGCTGCTTTGACTCCCGCTGCTCCTGCTTTTGATGCTGCTCCTGCTGCTTACTCTGATGCCTACTCTGCTGCTTAATCTGCTGCTGCTGCTGTTGCTGCTGCTGCTGCTGCTGCTGCTGCTGCTGCTGCTGCTGCTGCTGCTGCTGCTGCTGGGTTTGCGCCGGAGGCTGCGGATCTCGATGCACCTCATCACGCTCCAGCACACCGCTGACCTGCCCATGATGCACTTGGAACTCTGGCCAGAGCGGCGTACCGCCATGCGTTGGCCCATCTGATGCTTTGGCAGGTGTCTCGAGAGGATCAACGCATTGTTCATGCATGTTGTTGACCTCGCGAACGCACGGTTTGACGACTGATCAGGGTAATCTTAGCAGGTGGGCCACGTCCGGCGTGATGTCAAGACGAAGAGGGCGAAAAGCTGTTTAAGTATGGTATGTGGATTATCGGGCTTTCATCCGAGTTAGTGCAGGCCTCTGGCATGGCAGGTTGACTGATGGTCAACTCAATGCTTTCGGACGGCAGGGTTGCAGAACTTCAGCACCCCTGCCAGCTGCAAAGCGTCGTCACTGGAAGGCCCAGATGTCCACCATTACACATATGTATTTCCATGAGCTTTTGGCCCTGTTGCTGCGACAGCCAGCGCAAGTCAAGGTCGGCGCGCGTCGCCAGGCGCAGGCCATACACCCCCACCAAAGCAGCCCGCATCAGATTTGTCCTTGCTTGCGCAGGCCGTCGGGCAATCACTGCGCGAGCGACATAAGAAATCCAAAGCACAGAACGGGGGATAAGCTCAACTGAAGGCCCACGCCTGGCCTAGGGAACGGTGCCACATGCGCGTGTGCCTGGGCCGCTGGCCACAGCGCGGCGTGACGGGGCCAAAGTGCCCCGACAGGGTGTGTTGGCGTTCCTGCGTCTCCTTTGAGCAGCGGCGATTGAGGACGCGGCGGCCGCATGGTGTGCCGCGGCGCTAGAAAGTGCTGAGAATTGGCCCGAATTCGCGCCGCCGCGTGCGGCCTCAACAAAAAGGGGACAAGGACAGAGGGGAACAGTGTGCTAGAGACATCTGGACAGGCTGCTTTTTCTCACCCCATCGAGCGGATGCGTTGCTGGCGCGTGTCACGAACACTCGGCGGCCTGCGCCATGCCATGAGCATCGATGGGCCTGCCGCGCAGGCGGAGCCTGCCAAGCCTCGCTGCACCTCCCAAAACGAGTCGGCCCCCACGCCGCCGCTGCAGCCGCAGCTACATGAGCCCTCAGAGAGGACGAGCCCTGCAGAAGTGGGATCGTCGCTCTGACATCACCAGCCGCCCTGATACGCGTGCGGCATCCAACCCTGATGCTGCCCCAGGTCCCCTGGGCCCGGCCCGCGCTTCTGGCTGCGCGCCCGCTGCTGCGCTGCAGCCTGCGCCTGCGCCTGCATCTGGCTGTGCTGCTGCTGCAGCGCCGCCGCCGCCTGCCAGTCGCGCAGCAGCCCGCCCTGCGCAGCCGCGGCCGCGGCCGCGGCCGCCGCCTGCTGGTGCTGGTGCTGCTGCAGGTGCGCCTGAAGCAGCGCCGCCTGCGGCGCGGCGGCGGCGCCCACGGGCGTCGACGCGCGCGGCGGCTGCATACCGTTGCGAGGAGCGGCGCCAGGGGCGCTCGCGGGTGTGGCGCCGGGCATCGTCCAAGGTGCCGCGGCCGCGTTCAGCGCCGACTGCTCGTGGCGCTGCATCAGCAGCGACTGCTGGTGCTGGTGCTGGTGCTGCTGGTGCTGCTGCGCTGCCCTGACCTTGCTGACCGCCGCCGCGGCCGCGGCCGCCGCGATGCTCGCTGCGCTGTGAGCGGCCGCGGCCGCTGCCCCGGGCGGCGCGGCCGCCGGCCCCATGTTGTAGTGGCCGGGCGCCGGCGCATTCTGGTCCAAGGGCGGCAGCAGGTCGCTCCCATGGTGGTGCTGCTGCTG